TAGTTGTTACAACACTGAATATCACCTTTGTTCTTGTACAATGGAACCACTGTACTCCACCTCTACTCATCTGGCATCCTCTTCGTCCTGAAAATAACATTAAATAGACCAGTCAACCACTCCAAGCCTGCTCTACCCACATACTTTCAGAACTCAACCGGAATTTCATCTGGCCCGGTCGCTCTGCCCCGACTCATCTTACACATAGCCCCCACGACCTCCTCCAACTTAATACACCTACAATACCCAAAGTCTCGGAGACTCTCTGAATGCCCCAGATCCCCTAGCACTATATCACGGTCCCCTTCCTCATTTAGAAGACCCTAAAAGTACATCTGTCATCTCTGTTTAATCTGGGACTCCCCCATCAAGACTCTACCGTCCTCGTCTTTGATGCACCTCACTTGATCCAGATCCCGAGCCTTCCTCTCCCTCGCCTTAGCCAATCGAAACAACTTCTTATCCCCGCCTTTTCCCCCCAATTCCTCATACAGTCGGCCAAATGCTGCATTCTTAGCCTCCGTGACCGCTAGCTTAGCCTCCTTTCTTGCTACCTTGTACCTCTCTCTATTCGCTCTCCTCTCCTCCTCGCATGTGCTCCCTACCAACTTCATATACGCTTCCTTCTTCGTCTCCACTTTGCCTTGGACTATGTCATTCCACCACCAGTTGCCTTGGTGCCTGTCAGAGTGACCCTTCGAAATCCCTAGCACCTCTCTTGCCGCCTCCCTAACGCAGTTCGCCGTCGTAGCCCACATAGCGCTGGCGTCCTCACTACTCCTCCATGCTCTCATAGCCGATAACCTCCCCTCCAACTCCTGGGCTTTATCCTTAGTTAAGGCTCCCCACCTAATCCTCGGTTGACCACGAACATACCTCTTCTTCCTCCTTATCGTAATACCGACGTCCATTACCAAGAGCCTATGCTGGGTCGCGAGGGTCTCACCCGGGATAACCTTGCAATCCCTGCACAACCCTCTATCACACCTTCTGAGGAGGAGGTAATCAATCTGAGTTTTCACAATCGAACTTCAGAAAGTTACTAGATGCTCCTCCCTCTTCGGAAAACTCGAGTTCGCAATCACCAGCTCGAAAGCCTTAGCGAAATCCAACAGCGAGGAACCTCCTCCGTTCCTATCCCCAAAGCCGAAGCCACCATGCACCTCGCCATAGTCACCAGCAACCGACCCAATTGTGGCCATTGAAATCCCCTCCTATAAATAACCTCTCAGCGGGTTGTATTGGAGCATTGTATAACAAAATTAATCTAATTCTCCCCCCCCCCCCAAAAAAAAAAGAAGAAAAGGAAAATGAAGTAGAAGAAAACAATGTTGAAGTAGGTACACAGATCGATTTTTAAGCTTCACTTTGTTGATGAGATATGCTGCTGTATCGCAAAGAGTTGATTTCTTTCATGATAGTGCTTTGATGTATCTTTCTAATTTTTGCTTGTTATTGTGAAATGTACAGTAACTGGTGCTTGCTTTGTAAATATAGCCACTTGGCACTCGTCACCGTGCTGTTTTTTTTTCCCGAAAAATGTTGACCTTGCCAGTGAGTTTGCATCAATCTTGTTGATAAATGCTTAATTTGCTACAGAATCGATTGAATATCATTTCTCTGTTTTGATCAATGCACTTCTTTCATTGTTCTTTGAATTAGGATCCTAAGTTTCAGCCAGAAATGTCAAGTACCTATCGACCTGTAAAGTGCAATATTGACTGTACCTGTGACAATGAGAGGGAGCAATGTATTTATGAAAGACAATATGCTGAGATGAGTTCTAGTAGTGGAGTGCTCGGAGAGGACATCGTGTCCTTCGGAAACCAAAGTGAGCTAGCACCCCAACGAGCTGTTTTTGGATGTGAAAATCTGGAAACTGGTGATCTTTACAGCCAACACGCTGATGGTATCATGGGCTTAGGCCGAGGGGATCTAAGTATAGTGGATCAACTTGTTGAGAAACATGTAATTAGTGATTCATTCTCCTTATGTTATGGTGGAATGGATTTCGGTGGTGGTGCCATGGTTCTTGGAGGAATAAAACCCCCTTCTGAAATGGTCTTCACCCATTCAGATCCTGTACGCAGGTATATATTCGATATAATTGTTTTAATGACATGGGAATTTTAGGTGTTATAACAAATACACTCGATAAGTCTTATGCATTTACTCTAGTCTCGGATGGCAACAGTCCATATTACAATATTGAGCTGAAGGAGATACATGTTGCTGGGAAGGCCCTGAATCTAAATCCTCAGACTTTTGATGGAAAACATGGGACTGTGCTTGATAGTGGTACTACCTATGCTTACCTTCCAGAAGCTGCATTTGTGGCCTTCAAGAGTGCTGTAAGATGTTTCTAGATTATGCACTATCATATTTATCATTTTTTAATGCACTCTGCCAGAGACAAGTACTGGTTAAAATTGCGTGCTTGTGACTAGAAGAATGGAATCTGTGAAACCTGAACTTCATCTGAATGATGTGTTTGTGGTTAATGTCTTTTTGTTGCATGTTACCATTTAAGTCACCTTTGCCTGAATAACGATTTACACCACATGTTGGTGGAACAAACAACTGCATAATTATGGTAACAGGCTCGACATAGTTGGAGACTGCCTGCTAATATGTGGGATTTGAAGTAAAAGTAAAACCCGTTAATTACACTCAGTTATTACGCTAAGGCTTAAGTGCTTACTACATAACTTTGAAGGAGAAACAAAGAATCCAGGTGGTTTGTGATCCTATAATTCCGAAACTCACTGAACCGTTTTCCTTGTGCTGCAGCATCTTAAAGGTGTTAATTTACGTTTGTTAACTACTTATTATAGTTGTTTTTTCCTTTTAATATGCAATTTTTTCTTCCAATTATGTCACTAAAAAAGAACTTTTGAAAGTTTTTTTTTTTAAAATATAGTATGTACTAGAAAGCTTCTGCAAATCTTTGATGTTTTTAGCTTCTTATCATTCATTTTTGGATATGTTTATTTGTGTAAAGTAATAAGTTGATTATGGGGCCAAAAGAAGTGGATTGATGGATTGTGTATTACTAACAATATTCTACCAATGGGTGGTGGATGCTTTGTTGAATTTTTTTTAAGACCATTTTCTTTTTCTTTCTTGAGTCAACTCCTGAAAATTTTATTTCAGGTCATGAAAGAACTTCATTCTCTAAGAGAGATCGAAGGGCCTGACCCGAATTATAAAGATATATGCTTTTCTGGTGCTGGAAGGTAATAAATTAACTATAGTAATGTTAGATCATTAACTTTTTCTTTCCTTTATTTTTGGTGTTGTTTCTTGTATTGAATGTCTTGTATATTGCAGTGACATCTCAGAGCTCTCAAAATCATTTCCTCCTATCGACATGGTATTTAGCAATGGAAAGAAACTATCTCTCACTCCTGAAAACTACTTATTCAGGGTAGGCATCTTAATCCACATGGTTTTTATCTTACTACCTTGCCTTTAGAATCTGTATCTCCTTTTGGCTTCATCTCTCCTAGTGGCTACATTTTTTGTCTTTGTTTTGATAAGTGGCTCCATTTTCTCTCTGTGTTTCTATATTGACTAATTCTGCCCTTTTGCTTACTGTAACTGATTGCTATAAAGCACTCAAAGGTGCGTGGGGCTTACTGCTTGGGAATTTTTCAGAATGGGAAGGATCCAACTACTCTTCTTGGAGGTATTTGTCATATATATCTTTTAGAATCTTGGGAAAGTTCATCTGCCAAATTCTTCAGTTGTATAAGCTGTAACATGCGTGCCTTTGCTTTTAATTGCAACAGGTATTGTTGTCCGCAACACTCTTGTAACCTACGATCGTGAAAATGAAAGGATTGGTTTTTGGAAAACCAATTGTTCTGAGTTATGGGACCGACTAAATTTATCTCCTTCACCTCCACCTCCACCATTGCCCTCAGGCTTGGACAACACAAACTCCAGTGCAAATTTGACTCCAGCACTGGCACCTAGTTTACCTCTGGAGCATGCACCTGGTACGAAGAAACTGTTCTCCTATCTTTTTGTCACCATTAGTATGCCTTTCAGTCATGCTTTTATCCAGTTTTGTAGTGGAACTGGTTTTATTTCAATTATTCTACCGGAAGGGGGGAGCCTTAGAGCAACGGTAATGTTGTCTCCGTCTGGCCTATATGTCATGGGTTCGAGAAGTGGAAGCAGCCACTATTGCTTGCATTAGGGTAGGCTGTCTACATCATACTCACACCCCTTAGGGTACGGCCCTTCCCGGAACCACATCAATCCGAGATGCTTTGTGCATCGGGCTGTCCATTATAATTCCGCCAGGCTGTTTTGCATCATTTCCCCCTAATATTTTTAATCCATTTTGGTTTCTGATTTGCTATGCTGGTTTTTTGCTATATCGCCTAAGATTAGGTTAGCTTTGATGATTTCACATCCTTTCTTTGATTAAGGTCCATGAATGTTCCTGTGTCTCCAAATGTCAGCTTTCAAAATGACATTTGAGCTTGCGTTTTGTATTGTTTCATCAAGTTTTGTATTCATCTATCTCCTTAGCATTCCAGAGTTCCTGAGAAGCACTCGCTAGTAAAGACGTATTCTGATGTCATGACATTTTTAACCTTGTTGGAGTTTGGACCCAAACAAACTTTTTTTACAGAAGGAAACTATAATTTTAAGGAGTACAACAGTTGCTGTATATAGAACATGGTGAGTAACTCCACTCTTGAGATGCCTTCTCTTCACTGAAGTCAATTTCTAAAAACCTCCGTGCTTGACACAGATTTGTTGGTATAGATTTGTGCTCCAGAGATGCAGATGGGTCCAGCGAATTTTTCACTAGAATTTTTCTTTTTTTTCTCACCACCTGTCCAGCATAGTGCTGTCAAAAGTGACAAGCTTAGAAAAAAACCATGTGCTTGGTGGGGCTTTAACTGCAACATGCTATAAAAACGTTCACTATAAATGTAATGTAAATAAATAACCATAAACACAAAATAGCAATTGTTGGAAAAATTGCAATTTAGTGAAATACACGAGGTGTCAATCAAGTTCAGATCATATTGTAAGTCTTGATTCAAGGTGCATTTTTAAATTAGTAATTTGGATCAATGATTAGTTTTCTTAGACTATAACTTTCAATTTTCATACTCGTAAGAACTGATATACTCATATATAATATAACGTTTTTCTTAATAACTAATAAATGCTTTCCTAACTATATTTATTTTTGTGCTATCCTATTAACAACAGAGCCTGTGGATGTTAGGCACCCACTTTAAGGCCTTTTTCCTCGCACTGAAGCCCTACTTTTAAGGTTTACTGTCACGACCCAAAATTCCACCTTAAGGATCGTGATTTCACCTAGTCTCTAAAACTAGGTAAGTCGATCACTTACAACAGTTAAACCATTAAAACATGATATTATGAAGCGGAGTTTAATATAAATGCGAAAATAAAGGTGATACAAGCCAACACGGCGTTAATCACAACAAATCCCCAAGACTAGGTAATACAGAGTCACGAACTCTAACTGAATACATAGAAATATTTCAAAACAAAGATACAATACTGTTCTGGCAGATAATTGACAGTATAAAGATAAGGAAAGACTACAAGGGACTTCGACGATCAAGCAGCTCTACCTTGAATCCTCGTGATCAAAAAGCTAACTCTGCCTAGGTCCTATGCCTCCAACACCTTGATTTGCACAAAATGTGCAGAAGTGTAGTTTGAATACACCATGGTTGGTACCCAGTAAGTATCAAGGCTAACCTCGATGGAATATTGGCGAGGTTCAAGTAAAGACACTCACTAGTCAAATAACCTGTGAAAAATATCAAAAATGGGCAAATGGAATAATAACATAAAGTCATAACTGTAATCTCTTCAAATTAAACGATACCTATTTAGAATAATTAAAGGTCCCGTTCTGACAATAAGCCATCAAATAGAATCACGCACACCCGGCACCTCGTACCCACATTAACAATCACCCTCGCACGGCAAAGGCCTCGTGCCACAACATAAGATATACCTCGCACGACGAAGAGCTTGTGCCACAATATAAGTCACAACCGCATGGATAACTCATATGCCAATATCACAATCCGCCTGGCGTGGTCACATGCTCAATATCACAATTCGCCCGGCGTGGTCACATGCTCAATATCACAATCCACCCGGTGTGGTCACATGCTCAATATCCCAATCCGGCTGGCATGGTCACCGGCTACCTGTCCAAATGTACATGATCAATGGACATCAAGTTTCATACTCCTGGACTGATATTAATGACATGTTATGGTATATGCATGTGCAAGTGTATTATCACAGCTTAAATCATCTAAGTAATATCAGAGACACCAAGTGGCACATTAGGAACAACACAACAAATCACGTAATATGTATGACACACACAAGGAAGTCAAAAGCAACAACCAGAATACTCCTCTTTCATCAACAACATGCCCCCAGGCCATCACATAACATCCCCTTATTGCCACCCTTATGTCACCACGTTGACAATATCATAATAGCCACCCGTATCGCTCCGCCTAGGCAGTATATCAATAGCCACCCGTGTCACTGCGCGCAGACAATATATCAATAGCCATCCGTGTCACTCCGCACAATCAACAACAGTGAATTGTCATCCTTGTGCTCCGGATAACAACAATCGATCCACACATGTCCACATATGCCACAATATCACAGGATAGTAGTATTAGAGATTTATCACGATACAAGCTCACCACTCATCAACAAAGTGCACAAGGACATATCATTAATATAGAATTGCTGAGGGGTATTCAACATTTAAGCATGAAAGCTACTCAAATTAACAAGAGTCTCACAAGCGCCCAACTTGGCCAAATAAGGAATTAAGATCCTAAAACATGATTTGTACATGGAATATAAATAACTTAATGTCAAAAATAACTTGATGTCATAAATAAAAGCCATAGGAAACGATTCTGAATAATAAAGCTTCTATCTTGAACAAGAATAAAAAGTAATCCCAAAAAGTCAACCCCGGGCCCACACCGTGGAATCCGACAAAACTCACAAATTCCGAACACCCGTTCAAATACGAGTCCAACCATACCAAAATCATCCAATTCCGGCCTCAAATCGGCCTTCAAATCATCAATTTATGTTTTAAAAAAGTTTTTACTATGATCTCCAATTTCTCCCATTCAAATCATCAATCAAACACTAAAATTGAGATTGGAATCATGAGAATAAACAAATCCGAGTAAAAAATACTTACCCCAATCCAAATCGTGGAAATTCCCCCAAAATCGCCCAAATCCGAGCTCTATAACTCAAAATGTGATAAAATAACCAAAACCTTTGAAATAGAGTACTTATAGATCTGCTCCAGGTAAACCCTTCTCAATTGCAGGACCAGCTTCGCAATCGCAAAGCACAAACTTAACTGACCACAGAAATACCCTTCGCGTTCGCGGTACATACCTCGCGAACGCGATGCATGGCTGAGCCAGACCTACGCGAACGCGGCGTAGACCACGTGACCGCGAAGACAATACCACCAGCTCCCAGTTCTTCATCGCGAACGCGTCATTGCCATCGCGAACGCATTGACCAAGCCCCACAAAGCTACGGGAACGCGACCCTCCAGTTGTGAATGCGAAGAGGAAAAACACTCAGCTCCAATCATACACTGCGCGATCGCGGTTAGCCCCTTGCGATCGCTAAGAACGTCAGCAACAACAGAAAACCAGCAACACAACATGAAGGAAAATGGTCCGAAATCACCCCGAAACTCACCCGAGCCCCTCGGGGCCCCGTTCGAACATACCAACAAGTCCCAAAACATAGACAAACCTACTCGAGGTCCCAAATGACACCAAACAACATCAAAACTACGAATCACACCGCAAATTCAAGCCTAATGAACTAATGAACTTTCAATTTCCAAAACTCATGCCGAACCATACCAAATCAACTCAGAATGATCTCAAATTTTGCATGCAAGTCCCAGATGACATAAACGGACCTATACCAACTCTCAGAACCGCAATCCGAACCCGATATCAACAAAGTCAACTCTCGGTCAAATCTATCAACCTTCCAAACCTTCAACTATCCAACTTTTGCCGGTTCAAGCCAAAACAACCTAGGAGACTCCAAATCCACATCCGGACACACGCTAAATCCAAAATCACCATCCAGACCTAACAGAACCATCCAAACTCTGATCCGAGATCAAATACGCAAAAGTCAAACTTGGTCAACTCTTCCAATTTAAAGCTTCTAAAATGAGAATTATTCTTCCAAATCAATCCCGAAATGCTCGAAAACCGAAACCGACCATACACGCAAGTTGTAATACATCATATGAAGCTACTCACGACCTCGAACCACCGAACAGAAATGCAAATGATCAAAACGACCGATCGGGTCGTTACATTTATGTATGCTTCAAATGAGCATTCAGTGACACTGTTCAGCAAAAGGAGAAACTCTACTAGCCACTTGTAGCCACCTCCAGGGACCCTCTCTGTCTCGGCCATGGATTACTTTGAGGAGTAATAGGGCTTCTCCAAGCGGAAACATTCCACGCATGCTGTGATCCTCCATGTTTTCTCTGCTAATCTTTGCTACTTTTTCTGGCGGTCCAACTGGTTGATCAATTCTACTAACACCATCCGAATGAGCCCTCAGGAATTCATCTCCCTACTTCTTTGCCAGATACAAGGAAGGCGTTGTCCTCATAGGGTTGGCCTTGGCATAACTCTCTGATAATTTGACACGTTGCTTTAATTTGGTAACAATTTACAATTTTGGGGGTGCTGCACTTGATTCCATTGAGTTACACCATTTCTCATATTTAGGAATGGTCCTGTGCAAGATTGAAATGTACTGAACTCAGTTTTTCCCTGTGCAGATATTTATGATTGTTATTATTATTTCATCTTTGACCTGAATTGGCAGGGAAAATCAAAATTGGACTCGTATCATTTGATATGTCACTGAGTGTTGATTACTCAGCATTGAAGCCTCGTGTTCCAGAGCTTGCCCATTTTATTGCGCAAGAGTTGGAGGTTAACGTCTCACAGGTAGTTTTTGCATGACCCAAAGTTGTGTCAGTCTGATGTAATCTAAAACTGTATATCCCATTTTCTTTAAGTTACTTAACTGTATTTTAATTTTGTTCAATATGATATGTCACTTATTGGAAGATACCTTGCAGGTTCACTTAATGAACTTTTCGACAGAAGGAAATGATTCCCTCATTAGATGGGCCATCTTTCCTGCAGGATCTGCAAACTACATGCCAAATGCCACTGCAACAGTAACTCTAAACATCTAGAATATGTGAGGACTATTTCTTGATTGAAGAACCCTTTATTCATCATTTACCTATTTGCAGGAAATAATAAACCGGTTGGCTGAGAATCGTTTTCATCTTCCTGATACATTTGGAAGTTATAAATTAGTCAAATGGGACATTGAACCCCCACCAAAGAGGTATAAAAGCTATCTCCATTCTTTGCATGTTCATAAAATATTGAGTTCTGCTGTACAAACTTTTAGCATCATAGCATTACTTATAAAATTATTCTGAATTGTCAAAACAAATGTGCCTTTTCTTTTCAAAATGCAAAATAAATCTCCGCATTGCATTTCAGATGGGAAAAACATGACACGCATCTTTTCATCTTGCCTTAAACACATGTTTGTAAGTTACATTCTAAATTAGGAAACGTGAATGAGTCTACATTGCATCGCACCAGTTCGACTGCATATTCCAAGGATAATGATGAATAGGTGATGACTTTCGTCTCCATTTTTCATTGTTTCAATTTTTCTCAAAGTTTCTTACTTGGATTGGTGGATAAAGTGGCAAAGCCAGAATTTTTTTATAAGGGATTCGAAAATACTAGAATGTCATAATTGAGATCTGAACTTGTGACTTGAAAGCAACTTTTGAATCCTCTTTGCTACTAAACTAAAAAATTTCCCCTATGGCAAGGAGATTCAATAGCTTATATATAACCAAAAAACTTCATTTTTACCCTATTCGCATACTATAATTTGAAATGTTTTTGGTCAAAGTTTAATTTGCTGCATCTCAAAATCTTAATAGCAAAATATTACCTTAATTAACTCTAATGTAAAGAGATTGGATAACACACCACAACAATATTTTTGGTAGGTGAATATTACTTTAATTTTTTTGACAATTAATTGAGATAGGAGTTCTTGATATTTTTTTTTTGGTTTTGGTAACTATCAAGTTGTTGGTTTGATATGGTTTCATTGCAACGATTTAGGATACGATGGCAGCAAAATTACCTTGTTGTAGTGTTTGCGCTACTAGTTGTCCTGATAATTGGATTATCAGCTTCTCTGGGATGGTTAATTTGGAGACGAAGGCAAGAAATCCCATATAATCCTGTTGGAAGCGCTGAAACACATGAAAAAGAACTCCAGCCGCTAAATTAAAATATACGTCACTTTTGACATGGAAGTGCTAATTTTTCTTTTGTAAATCCTAGATAATTTTGTCTAGTTAAAGGAAAATATACCCGGTTACAAATATGTAGTGTCCTGGCATTAGAATGAACTGTGCGCTCTCTCTCATGTAATGACTACTTTTTTTTCTTCCTCATTTTACTTTTTCCTACGCTCTATGGTTGCCTTTTCCACTCCCTTCAGTTATCTTCTCTCTTAAGGCTGTCAAATTCTGTGTTGATGCTCAAATCTCAATCGTTCTCCTCTACATTTCAAGATGTGATCCATGCATTTGGAGGTAATTAGTTTTCTTACTTTTTGCTTAATCGCTAGGAATCCCCGAAGTTTCAATTGTCCAAAGCGTGGTCAGTGTCTCTGGGATTCCGCTATTTCTGGTATGAACGGGAAAGTTTTAAACCAAGTTACAAGGAATTCATATGAATAGCGTGGTCCAACATGTAATAACATCGAATAAATAAGTATATAAACAAATAATTTATATCTATATATTATTAAAAGAAGAGAAAAAAGTGGTAGCTTCACAATAGGCCACTTGGTAATTTAGGACAAAATTAGTTAGGCTAGGTAATAATAATAATAATAATATTTTTTGGTAATTCACAAATATTATTAATCACCAAAGTAGCAAATTATAGCATATAGAGGCCAACTCAGCCTGTATACAAGTCTATTATGAGCTCATAACCTCGAGAGACTAGTTTACATGTCAAAACACTATTACCATCACTACCTAAAGAAGCTTATTTTGCAGAACTAATTTGAGTTTGCCAACAGCTCGTACATTTGCAAAGATAGGCTAATTCTCTAATGATGCTCTGCTTGTCCCTGTGTATCTTATTGAATACTCTTTGATTTCTTTCATTCCATATACTATACAATACTTCAGCAAAAACCAATCGCATAAGCTGATCTTCAACAGACTTCTTCTTAGCTTTCTCCACAAACCAGGAAACTAGCTGAGCCCATGTCTTTAGTTGGACCTGCATTTGTAACCAGTCGAAGACATAATGAGTTTCTTTTTTAATTTAAATTTTAAAAAAAAATTGGGCATAATGCACTGTTAATAATTAGTTACTATCTTTGAATTTGAATTTAAACATACTTAACTATTTTTTTTATAGAAACAACAATTTTATATATTAAAATTTATTTATTCTAAAACCTATTGTATTTTAAATTGGGAAGTTGCCAACATGATATGATAGTATTTCGATTATATGTAAAATTTAAAACCGAAAACTTATTATAATGTTACATTATAAAAAAATATACAAAGATGAAAATATCGATAATACAAGGATATTTCAACTTTTTAAATTATTTTAAAATAAAAGAATAAAAAATTATCAAAGGAAGAAGGCTTGTGGAAACCTTCAGAACCTTTTCCACTAATAGACTTAAGTTCAGATTTTTATATCGTAAAATTCACAAAGGAAGAAGACATGAACAGTGTCCTAAAGAATGGTTCATGGTTTATCAACGATCACTACCTATCCATCAGACGCTGGGAACCAAACTTCATTGCATCATAGGCAAAAGCAACAACATCTGCAGTCTGGGTTAGGCTCCCCCATCTACCAACAGAGTTCTACGATTGATCCCTCCTTCAAAAAAATGGAATTCAATTGGAACCTTGCTAAAGGTTGATGCCTGCACGAGTGTTACTCTTAGAGGGCGTTATGCCCGTTTGTGCATTCAAGTGCCATTGGAAGACCCTGTTTTCACATGCATCAAAATTGGATCTCACATGCAGCAAATTATTTACGAAGGAGAAGGCTTCCTCTGTAAGAACTGTGGGCGACTAGGCCACACGCTGCTGCGATGCCCCCACCAGAAGAAGATGGAGGATTGTCCTCAAATTCTCCATGGACACCTGACCAACTCCCAGCAGCTGGAAACTAATGATTTGGAAATATGGCAAACGGTTTCTTTTAATAAAAAGAAGAAGCCCCCATAAAGGAATCTAGTACAACAAGCCACAAGCTCAACGCCGGATCCTCAGGCAACGCCAGGTATAGATGTCAATATTTTTGCAGCAGAGTCAGGTAAATTTCTCTTCTCGCAAAAGCTTGCTTTTAAATCGAAACATCCAGTTTACACCCCCTCTATTAACAGGAGCCATAGCCAGAATAAGCCAAAAATGGCATTTTCACTTGATCACAGTATCAATGCTCCCCCCATTAACTCTAATAAACTGCTCTTTAATGCTATTGACACTATTGATAATAAAACTACTAACTTGAGACACAAAAAGAATTTTGAATCCCCCAATAAATTCGCTCCTTTATCGATTCTTATTGATCAAGACATTGATCAAGACATGAAAAATCCATCGACCACTCCAACTATCTCCCAAGAATGTCTATACTCTGCAGGCAACTCTTCCAATTCCCAAACCCTTTCGTTAAAACTAATGGTTCCTACTGTAGAGTCACTGCCACATGTCGATCAAAGTTACCCCCCAAGCAACTTTAGAATTTTTATTACCATTAAGCCCCTCTCCTACAATTACTAGCCCCTTAATTTCAAATACTAACCCTAATCAATACTCTTCCTCTACGTCTCCTCTACAGTTGGCACATGAAGATGGCCAACTAGCCATGCAGATAGAACCAGTGAATCCGGCTACAACCCTTCACACGCAAAGCCTACCCAATCCCATGGAAACTAAATCCTCCTTTATACATCCTCAAGCATTAGGTCCCTCTCCACACTCTTCCACTCCTCCTCTTATTAATCTGCCTTTGGGCATTCACCATGGCAAGACCCTTGTTTCCCCTAAACAGAAGGTCTGCACTCTTAATTCCTCCACCCCCATTAACGATGAACAACTTTCCTCCACTCCTACCCAGCTAGGTCAACACCAACTGATATATGCAACACAACTTCCTCACCCTTTTCAACAGCCCCTCTCATGGATTGAGTAGGGGTTGCAAGGCCAGGCGGTGTTCTTCACCATGGACATCAATGGCAGGGAGGTTCTTATCATACTTCAGAACCCATGCTTCCTTGCCCAGATGATCTCAGAAGGCATGATGCTAGCGATGGACAACTACATGAATCACATATGGTTGGCCAATGTGTTGGATCCACTAGCCCTAGTAGTTGCACCAGCACTATACCACAATATGCATCCTCAATGGAACCTCCCACCCCACTTCAACCCACTACTCAACATGAATCAAATTTACGAGCTTCCTTTCTTTCCACCAGTCGTGGAGAACACCCTCTTCTTCCCTTGGCAACCTCAGCAGGTCCAGTATCAGGCTGCTCCACCTCCACAAGAGCAGGAAGAAATCATAATGGAGCAGGGGGGCGGAGAGATGAAGAAACTACCTCAGCAGGCCGTGGAAATAGAGGAGATCCCGCTGGCCAGGGGCTCGTTCATAGAAATATAAAGCCTCAGAGAAGCAACCTTTATGCTGTTCCCAGAGAGAGAGGACAAAACATACATTCACAGGTGTCCGGTGGCCCTAACGAAATGTTCCTTCGACCTATGCCCAACAGTGAACAGGAATGCAGCAAAGCACGCTGTGCTTCTGACTCCGACCCTGAGGGGGAGCCACTTCACCCCACAGGAAACTCATGCCACTCTACACCCACACCACCACCCTGTCCCAATGAATAAACCTACAAGCATCATTGTTTGGAATACTAGATGAGCTAATTATGATACGTTTAGCAGAAACTTTAGGGAACTGATTTTTACCCAGACTCCCTGCATGGTTGCGTTATTAGAAACAAAAATGGAAAATCATGAGCGTCTCAGGGATGAGTTCCATTTCGATGATATGCTTGAGGTGCCAGCCCAGGGTAGAGCAGGGGGTATTGTCCTTCTGTGGATCACTAGCATGGTCACAGTTACCCGCCTTAGGCAATTTGACCAAGAGCTGCATGCAATGATTCAGGTACACCCATACCCTAACTCTTGGTTATTTAGTATTATTTACGCAAGTACTAAAGTGGCCAAACGTAGAATCCTTTGGGATAATTTAGAAAACATGTGTACCACCTAAACTGTTCCTTGGCTTGTAGCTGGGATTGTAATGACATTCTTAGCCAAGAGGATAAGCATGGGGGTCGTCTTATTAATCGTAATAGATCTAATAAATTCTGGTCTTGTATCAATCGTTGTAATTTAATAGATTTAGGCTTTAAGGGTTGCCGTTATACTTGGTCCAATCATCGCCGTAGGCGTAATGGTTTAATTCTTGAGCGTCTTGATCGTAGTTTTGCCAACAAGGAATGGCTAGAGCTTTAACCTAATGCTACCATCACACATCTTCCTAAAGCTTATTCTGAACACAATCCGCTACTCATCAAATCCACTAATCTCACTAGACCCCCTATATGTAAATATTTCCGAGTAGAAGCTTTTTGGTACTCCCATCCAGAATTTAGAACTATTGTGGGAGATAGTTGGAATCAAAGAGACCTCCTAGATGCTACTAACCACTTCCAACAGAATATATCTTCTTGGAGTAGACTCACTTTTGGTAACATCTTCCATAAAAAGAAGCGTCTGTTGGCTAGACTGTAGGGTATTCAACTTTCACCTAATTACCCTACAAGCTCTTTCCTCCAATCCCTTGAGAAAGACCTAACCCTTGAGTACAATAATGTTCTTCGAGCTGAAGAAGATTTCTGGAAAATTAGAGCTAGGATTAACTGGTTAAACCATGGTAATGCGAATACGAAGTTCTACCACCTTTCTGTTATAAATAGAAGAAGAAGGAACAAAATTTCCTATTTTAATAATGAGCAAGGGGATTGGATTACTGACCCTGACACTCTATTAAACCATACTTTCCAATTTTTCAAATCCATGTACACTACGGACCACTCTTACTCAGACTGGTTAGGTATCCACACCACCCCTACCAGTTTTCTCGTTTAAATCTTTTAAGGCTCCGGGACCGGATGGTTTACACCCTTACTTTTACAAGAAATATTGGCATCTAGTAGGTAACTCTGTTCTCAAATTGTGTAACCACATATTTACCACTCAAATAGTGCCTCAATCTCTTAATAATACTTACCTATGCCTTATACCTAAATTCCATAATGCCAACAACCTCAAGAATTTTCGCCCCATAGGCTTGTGTAACACTATCTACAAAGTTATCACAAAAATCATTGTCAACCGTATCAAACCCTTCCTTCCAA